AAGGGGCCGGGGATTTAGCTCAGTGGTCCCGCCACTTGCCTCGCAAGCGCAAGGACCCGAGTTTGATCCCCTGTACCCAAAAAAAAAAAAAAAAAATTAAATAAAGACCAGGTGTGGTGGCACATACCTGCAATTGCAGCACTCAGGAGCCTGAGGCAGAAGGAGCAACACAAGTTTGAGGCCAGCCTGGGCTACACAGTTAGTTCAAGGCTAGCTTGAACTACATAGTGAGACCCTGTCTCAACAAAAGCAAAACAAAAGAATCTCAAGTTAATACAGGACTTTTTTTGAGTTGTAGTAGGCTTCTGAAATTATTTAGTCCACTTAACAAATGGACTTCAGATTGAGTCTGTAAGATTTATATTTGGCATCATAGTTTTTTTGGTACCGGGGATCGAACTTGGGTCCTTGGGCTTGCGCAGCAGGTGGCGAAACCACTGAGCTAAATCCCTGGCCCTTTGGCATCATAGTTTTTGATCTGAACAGAATTTGAACTCAAATTCACTTTGAACGCAGCACCTTTGTTCTTGCTTTTGTCCCTAAATTATGTCTCCGTGTGCCAATTGGTGACTATAGAGAAGTGCAGAGTTTATTCAAGTAGCAGATAATTCAGTCTGGTCAAAGCATAGGATGTGTGGGTGAATAAAAGTTAAATTTAATAAAAATTTTGAAAATGATTTTCTTTCTTTGAGGGTTATCTGGTCTTTGGGAAAGTTAACATTTATCTTTTTTTAAGTTGCAGACCCCAGCCTCTTTTGCACAGAGCGTTCAGGAACTAACAATTGCTCTCCAGAGGACTGGAGACCCAGCAAACTTGAACCGCCTAAGACCCCATTTGGAGCTATTAGCAAATATTGACCCTAGTCCAGGTAAACCCAACAGAAAATAATGGACTGTGTGTCCCTCAGTGCTGCAATGTTTCTACAGTTGTTTTCTGATATGTTCTTGTAGAAATTTTCAGAGTAGTGTTTTCACATCTTTTTTATATAGTATTTTACTTTTTGTCCCACATCTTGTCCTTCTTTATCTCATGTAAGTTCACATCAACTAATACTTGTTGAGTACTTTTACTGTTCCACTCACTTATGAGGAAAATAGATCTCTCTGAGCCTCTCTCTGTTTTTTCTTTCTCCCATCACAAAATTTTGCAGTATTTTATTTCTCACTTTGCCAAAACTCACATTTTTCTCATTTTTATATATTATATATCTTTTTTTTTTTTTTTTCTTTTTTGGTACTGGGGATCGAACTTGGGAACTTGCGCTTTTGAGGCAGGCAGTGGCACCACTGAGCTAAATCCCTGGCCCCATCATTTTTATATATTATATATCCTTAATTTCATTTCCTTGATCCCATTTTTGTCTTTTCCATGATACCTTGTTGCATTAAATATCCTTTCTTGCTTATCTTTGTCAGCCCTTTCCTGCTCCTTCTCTCTGACCTGAAAATGTATTGAACCTTCATTTTTCACCTCATACTTACATCTGACATATTTCATCTTGTATTCTAGTGGTTATTCTTATCACTGAAGTGAAACTCTCCTAATATTCACTAATAGCTTCCTATTATCTTAATTCCTCTTCCTTCTCAGTGCTTAAACTACTTCATTTATCTTCCGCTTTTGGTAGTTGTTGACCACCTCTTTATACAGACTCTTCTGACACCTTATCTTTCTATAGTCTCATGATCTCTTTTGACTAGAGGGATGCTTCTGCCCACAAAGAAAGATGTGAATGTTAGTAAGAGCATGCTCATGGAAATTTGTTTCCTTTGTATTCTTTGTTGTTTGTTATTCATTCTTAGCATCAGATATTAACCTTTCTACAAAAGACTCTCAGATATCTCTATGGCCGTTATCTCCTCATCACTCCTGATCCATTTCTCAAATGCTTGCTGAGAGTCTCCATCACCTGCCCTGTTCTTTTCTTTTTTTTCTTTTTTGTTTTTGCCCTGTTCTTTTCAAAGTGAGTTCATCTTCTTTCCAAGCCTGCACTTTCTTCTGTGTATCCTGTTATCAACCTCATTCTCTGAGGAACACAAGCTTAAAACCTTCTGCCTTCTGTCTGCTGTCTTGCCTCATATCTTTGCTTTCACTTCCTATATGTACTATTCCAGAAAACAGGATTTATCTGTTCTTTAAATATCCTGTGCCTTTTATTGCTTCTTATGTTGAGAGCCTCACTCCTTTTCTCTGGGACTGAACACCTTCCAGTTTCCTGTATTATTCCTCTAATCTGGTCTGTTTATTGCTGCAAAGTCAGTCATATCTTGGATCTTATTTCCACACTCAGAAACTTTCAGGGGCCAGGTGTGGTGGGGCATGCCTGTAATCCCAGTACTCCGGAGGCTGAGGCAGGAGGATTGCCGAGAGTTCAAGGGCAGCATGGGCTTCATAGTAAGTTCAAGGTCAGCTTGAACTACATAGCGAGACTCTGTTTCAAAAAAAAAAGAATCCAACTTTCAGGGATACCCCATTACTTATAGAATAAGATTTGGAATGCATGACTATAGCAGTCAACACTCTTTGTGAGATTTGTTTTTTGGTTTGGTTTCTGTTTTTTGAGACAGGGTCTTGCTACATAGTTCAGGCTGGATTTGAACTCACTATGTAGCCGAGGCTGACCTCTAACTCTCTAGCAATCTTCCTGCCTCAGCCTTCCAAGTGCTGGGATTACAGGAGTGAGCCTCCACACCTGACTTGTGGGGTTTTATTTGTTAGCTTTGTGGTACTGAGGATTGAACCCTGAGACTCACACTGAGCAACATCCCAAGCCCTTTTTATTTATTATGTTGAGACGGGTCTTACTAAGTTTCCAAGGTTGGCCTAAAACTGGTGATCCTCCTTCTCAACCTCCTAAGTAGCTGAGATTACCTATGTATGTGTACCACTATGCTCAGTTCTCTTATCAGCCTACTTTTGTAAGTTTGCTCCCAGGATTGCCTAATCATACTAAATCAGATCTGTTCCTACTATATTTACTTTTTCCCATTTTTTTTTTCCAGTTCTTAGGATTGAACTCAGGGCCTATGCACTGAGGTACATCCCCAGCTTTTTAAATTTTGAAATAGGGTTTTTGCGAAGTTGCATAGCCAGAGCCCAAACTTAAGATTCTTCTGCCTCAGTCTCCCAGAGTGCTGGGATTATAGGCATGCATTACCACACTTGGCTTCAAGTGACTTCTGTCTAGCCAGTTCCAAAGGCCACTTCTAAGTTCTTGTATTTAATGTGTTGGGAGCATTTATAACATTGCTGTTTACTCTGCCTTCCTTGAAAAGCTTTTGTCTTGACTTGTAAGTCACACACATTCTCCTAATTTCCTTTTTACTTTGTTAGACTCTCTTCTCAAAGTCCTCTGCTGACTTCCCATATCCATTGCTTCTGGCCTAGGAGTGTTGCAGATTTTAAACCTGTTCCTCTTCTCTATTTGAGGGGCTCTGTGGTGTTTGCTATGCTGTACCTCTTCTATTTATGCCTGTTTCTCCTAACTAGAAAGTTTTCCACTAATATCTTTACTTTGTCTAAAATTTTACACATATTTGCTACTTCTCTTTGCCTAAGTTTTCAATTCATCATTAACTAAACAGTCTGAATTTTGATTATTCTCTTGTCTGTTGTCTGGATCCTCTCCTTAAATGTGACAGATTTTTATGTTTTTATCACTGTTGCTTCTCTAGCAGCTAGAATAATATCTCAAAAGTAGTAGCTGTCCAAAAACTACTTTTGAATGACTGTTCTCACTACCTCTGACTTTCCCAGGTGAAATTCCATGTGTCCTTCAAAGGCCAGTTCATGTGCCATCACTGAAAAGCCTTTCGTGGTGCCTCCTTCAGGAAGTCATCTCTAAAAATTCTTCTCACTTGATTTTATATATATTTTAGATCACTTCTCAACCTTTTGGCTAACATCAAGTATGTGTATATTTGAGAGAATATTTTATGTTTAGCTTTGTAGTTCATTTTTCCATAATAAAACTATAGTGCTGGCACTGAGCAAATACTAAATGAAGAAGACATGTAGCAGAATTTCTTTATATGGTAGCTCTTCTATTAAACTTTTTATGTTAAAAAAAAACTTTTTATGTTGTACTTTGTTTACTACTTATCTGACTTATATAAGACTTCAAAATAAATGTACAAATTGGCTGACAGTGGGTAATCCATAGTAAAGTTTTGTGTGGTTCTCAGTGTTAGTATGCATCTTGTTCTAAATTTTTAAGGTGCCAGCACCTAAAAATTTTAATTTTAGTTGGTAGTATAGCTCAGTGGTATATTGTTTGCCTAGCATACACAGAGCCTTGCATTCAGTCCTTCACATTGCAGAAGAATAAAACAGAAACCAACAAAAATCTAGTGAACTTTACTTACGGAGCTCAAATTCAAGATATCCTTGGGAAATATTTAATGTATTTTTAATATATTTGGTAGGGCAAGCCTTGCATTTTCATATAACAACAACCAGCTAAAGCTTAGCGATAATTATAATCTTAGGATGATAGCTATGCTCATCAGATTGACAGATTCTCAGTCACTCTTTGTTTCCTTCTTTTTTTTTTTGGTACACGGGGGATTGAACTTGGGCCCTTGCGCTTGCTAGGCAGGCGGCGGAACCACTGAGCTAAATCCCCGGCCCCCCAGTCACTCTTCGTTGTCTTCAAAACTGAGAGTCTAATAACAGTTGTCATTATTGTCTGGCTTACCTAATTCCTTTATTACTTTCATTTTCCCTGTGTTTATTTTCTTTTACAACCCTGACTTTAAAAGAATATGTCCTTTCCTTCAAAATGATGGTTAGGTGAATATGTTTTGTTATACGAAAAGTTATATGATGCTTAACATGATTGCACTGAAATGCGGGCACTTCTTTATTAATTTAATTTTGGGCAAAATATTGAATCACATCATAGTTTTTTTTTTTAATTTGTTGCATAGATGCTCCTCCTCCTACATGGGAACAGCTAGAAAATGGGCTGGTTGCTGTGCGTACCGTGGTACATGGCCTGGTTGATTATATTCAGAACCACAGCAAAAAAGGAGCAGATCAACAGCAGGTAAGGGAGTAGTTTGGAATTCGCAGGTAAGCTACTTTGGATATAACTTAAAACTACAGGTAAGCCATTGTGGGTATACCTACAGAAGCAGAGCCAAAAAGGTCATATGAATATTTTGAAACTGACACAATTGACATAGTGACCAGCCAATTTACTGGTTTAGCCTAGTAATTTTATCTGACAACATTGAAATAACCCATAATGATCTCATGTGCTGAGGTCACTTTGGATATAGCAACATGTGATGGAGAAAGTAGATTTTGTTTTCCTCAGTTAGTATTACATTTCATTTTGACAAAGGTGTCACTTTTTAGCTGGGCGTGACAGTGCACACCTGTAATCCAGCACTAGGAGGCTGAGGCAGGAGGATCACTGGCAGTTCAAGACCAGCTTGGGCTACATAGTAAGTTCAAGACCAGCCTGAAGTACATAGTGAGATCTTGTCTCAAAAAAAAAAAGTGTTACTTTTTATTACTAATATTTTATCTCACCAATACTGCTTACATATCTGTAGACGTTTTTCTATATTAGTTTTTTTGGGTTTTTTTGGTACCAGGAATCGAACTCAGGACCTTGCACTTGCAAGGCAGGTGAGGTGCCACTGAGCTAAATCCCTGGCCCTTGTGTGTTAGTATTTTAAATTTTGTCATTGATAATGCCTCTTACTCCCGTGGTCTAAATTTTCCTGTATTATTTTTTTTTAAATGTACTACTGGGTAACAATCCAAGCCCTTAACACTGTGCTACATTTCCAGCCCTTTTTTATTTTGAGACAAGTTCTTACTAACTTGCCCATGCTGGGTTCAAATTTGCATTCCTTCTGCCTCTGCCTCCGACAGTGCTGGTATTATAGACATGCACCACCACACCTGGCTTTAAATTTTTAAAAGTGAAATGTGTGTAAATTATAATACATTATAGCCAGAGTTTTTACTTTTGTTGCCAATAATTTATTTTATGCTCAGGATTTATTTTAGATTCATTTGGTGTTTTCTTTTATAGTGGTAAGCCTGTGAACTTAAAATTCTGTAATTTACCTATTATTAATAATAGGTCACTTAGTATACCTTTTCTTTCCTGGAAAGACAAGAAATATAAAAAGTGTCTTGCTAAATAAGTAGAATAATCTGAATAGGGTTTCCCTAATCACTCTAAACTCAAATAAGAGCTTTATATGAAGAAAATAACAAAAATAATAAGACCTTTAAGACCCACCATAAAGTGATAAAATACACTAAACATGGTTCAGTCTAATTGAATTTGGTTATCTTGTTAACTTCCAAATCTATTTTCTTGCTTTATCCTTGAGTTGTAAGCAGTAAGTTTAATTTGTACCTTTGGAGATTTTCGAGTCTTGTGTATATTCTTCTGCATGTTAAGAATTGGTTATAGGCCAGGCATGGTGGTGCAAGCGTGAAGTCCCAGTACTCGGGAGGCTGAGGCAGATTTACCACCAGTTCAGGGACAGCCTGGGCTACATTATGAGTTCAAGACCAGTCTGGACAACACAGTGAGACCCTGTCTCTTAAAAAAAAAAAGACGAAGAAGAAGTAGACAGGAGCCCAAGCCTGTAATCCTAGTTATTCAGAGAAATTAGGGAAGCAACACCTTTCCCAATAGCTCCCCAAAAATGAAATACCTAGGAATCAATCTAACATAGGAAGTAAAAGAGCTTTACATGGAAAACTACAGTATTCTGAAACAGGAGATGGAAAAGGATATCAGAAAATGGAAAGATATCCTTTGTTCTTGGGTAGAAAGAATTGATGTAGTGAAAATGGCCATACTTCCAAGTTATTACACAGATTTAATGCAATCCAGATACCAGTATCATATCTCACAGAATTAGAAAAAAAAAAAATCGTAACATTCATTTGGAACCAGAAGAGACCTAGAATAGCAAAGGCACTTCTAGGCAATAAAGGCAAGGCAGGGGGCATCACAATCCTTGACTTGAAATTATACCTCAAAGCTACTATGATAAAAACAGCATGGTGGTGGCAGAGAAAAAAGACCTGAGATGGTTCCACCGCCTGCCTTGCAGTTCAGTCCCTGGTACCAAAAAAAAAAAAAAAAGACCCAAGGATCAGTGGAACAGATTAGAAGATGCAGAGACAACTCCAAACACACTCAGCTACTTTATCTTTGACAAAGGAGCCAAACACCTTCACTGGAAGCCTCTTTAATAAATGCTGCTGGAAAAACTGGCTTTCTACATGTTGAAGATCAAAACTAGACTCATATCTTTCACCACGCACTGAACTAAAATTAAAATGGATCAAAGATGTAAATATTAAAACAGAAACACTAAATCTGCTGGAAGATAGCATGGGTAGAACTCTTGAAGACATGATAGAGGCAAAGACTTTATGAACAAACCCCCAATCACAGGAAATATCACAAAGAATCAACAACTGGAATCTCATCTTATTAAAAAGCTTTTGCACAGAAAGAGAAACCCCGAATAGGGTAAAGAGACAAGCCACAGTGTGGGGAGAGTATTTTTGCCAGCTGTTCCTCAGACAAAGGATTACTATCTAGAATATATAAAGAGGGCTGGGGATTTAGCTCAGTGGCACCGTGCCTGCCTCGAAAGCACAAGGTCCTGAGTTTGATCCCTGGTACTGGAAAAAAAATTAAAAGAATAGAATATATAAAGAACTACAAATAAATTAGACCCCCCCC